GAATAGAAGTGGGTCTTCAAGCGAGACTTAAAGACTGAGAGTGTGGGAGCCTGCCGGACACTCAGTGGCAACTCATTCCACAGTCGTGGACCTGCAACAGAGAAAGCCCTGTCACCTCTGAGCTTACGACGGGTTTCTGGGACTGAGAGAAGCATCTGGTCTGCTGACCTCAGAGAGCGCGGTGGGACATACATATATATATATATATATATATATATATATATATATATATATATATACAATATTTGGGATTTGTGTGTCAAGTGATAACGCTGTCATGTTCCTTAAACTTAAGTGTCCATATAATGTCAAAAGGATTTATAATGTTAGCAAACAAATGACTTAACAAAAATAAACATTGTGAAAGCTCCCCACAGAACAAAGTGATATCATCGTAAACGCAGTCCAAAGTTCAAACAAAATGTCTGAATGACCTTCAGGAAGCATCAATAACTCAAGGCCACTCTAAAAAATACCTGCACAGCAAAGTGAGGCAAAGTAAATAGTCCTGACACTAAAGAACTGCTTATTCATTGGTTCGTCCACTTGAAAAACATTCTTCCTGCAGGGAAATGACCGTACGCAAAACCCCCTGAAGGCGGTAGAACCGGTTTGTCCCATGGTTGGACTATATATAAAAGCAGAACTCACAAAGTTTCTGATCCATCTACAGACTGAATCCCCCTCAGGTGGCAAACATTGTGAGGACTCTTCTCTTTTATTTTTATTACTGGTACCATCTGTAATATTGTACATTGCATGCAGTGACTTCTGATATGTTGCTACAGTATAACCATTGAGGTCTAAGTTAAATTTTAAGTAAAATTACAACTTTATATACATTTCTAGCAATAATATTACATGTTAATCTTGGAATGTCAAGTACAGATTGGTAATATAGTAAAGATAAAGATTTTGTTTCATATTGTTACAACATGAGAGAGTTGTGAGTTTTTGTTCTTAATGAGACAGTTTTGCAGTTTCTCCTATATTTCCATCTTTGCAAGTAACATTTTGTGCTGCTTTCACCCAAGGGACCATACATGCTGATTTTTTTTTTTTTTTAAAACCCAGATTTCAACTTGAATGAACGTCTTCCTGAATGAAAACATGAAATCAGACCATGCTTTTTCTTATTTCAGTTCTGTTGATTCTAAAGACAATTTGCCTTAGAGTAAATCAGCCTGCATCACCGCCTGTCCACAGCAACTACAACAGTATTTTGTCTTTGTCAGCACAGAAGGTGTCAACATGAAGCTGCAGCTGCTGTTGGTTCTGGCTGTGGCAGCACTGGTGCCAAGCCTCTCCGAGAGCCGAATTTTCAGCAAATGTGAGCTGAAAACTATATTTGAGAAGTCCATATCCCTGCATGGACAAATCAAAAAACACATGGAGGAACACCTGGCAGCAAGTGAGTGATTTCGTGTCGTATTCTGTGGTATACACTGATTAAATGCTGCAAGTGGTGTGAAGGTCCAAACAGGACATTAGATAGTGGTGTAAACAACAACGTTCCCTCTGAGGGACTTAACTAGGTTAGAGCTTTGGAACAGTAAATGTTGTACATTTTAATACATAGAATTCAAGATTATGTGTTGAAACTGACAAAATATTATCTACTTATTGTAAAATGTATTTAAATATATATATACATTATATACAATATAAAATATAATCTATGATAATCTACATACAACTGATGCAACCCACATAAAATAAATACAAAGAACCCATAGAGGATTAAAAATCAAACAGATTATTACCCTTAAAAAAACTAAACATATCCAGTCTGTCTTATTTTATATGATGAATTGTTTTATTCCAAAATGTGCCCATAAATGTAGTACGATGTGACTTTAGGCAGTTTGTGACCATGAACTGTCAGCACATACCATAAATGCTGAATGTTCAGTCGTTCATGTTGGTCATCATACTTGTCATATGTTCTGTTTCCTCGATTGCTTCTGCTCGTCCGGCTTGCTGCAGTCATCTGTCATCTGAACGAGACCTCCGGTCTGGACAGCAACCTGGTCACCATAGAAGGTGTCCGTGCACCCAGAACCACAGCCACACCATCGACTCTCCAGCCAACAAAAGACACTGAAGGGCCCAAGGAACCCACCACCACCAACACCACATCAAACACCACCACACCAGCTACTGCAACTCCAACAACCACTGCGTCTACAGATGTAAGCACTTCAGGACCAACACCTCTTGAGTCAAGCTCACCATCTGGCAGCAGAAAACGAAGGAGACGGTCCTCCAAAAATAACAAAAACACAGACTCACAGAAATCAAGGAATTCAAAGGAGTCGTCAGAGGAAATGTTTGATGTAAAAACAAGGTGTGACACGCAGGAGATGGAAGAAGATTACGCCAAGAAAAGAAACAAAGGCAGCTCAAACTTCTCTGAGGAGGAGCACCAGATGACCGTTTGGTCCCTTGGCAAGTACGGGATCTTCCAGCTGACGGACAGCCACTTCTGTGATTCTGGTTATCGCTGGTCCAGAAATGTGTGCAAGACTAACTGCTCAGGTGAGTTCATGCAAAGAAAACTTACTAATAATATTTTGTCAATTATGATATTTTTCATGTTCTTAATTTTTCTCTCTCTTCCTGAAGCTTTTACTGATGACGACATACAGGATGACATCAAATGCTTCATGGACAGTAAATACTTGGGGTAAGTCCCGGTCGTACACCTGAGACTACCTGTATAAATGAAGGCTAAATGAAAATTACACGTACCATTGAGAAAAGCGTCAATAACCCAAACAGAAATATAAGAGGAGATAAAAACACAAATGTTAATCATCCAGTTGCTTATATTTTTATAATGTATGTTAATGAAATAATTTATTTTTGTTAAACAGGTGCTTCTTGGAGAAGATCTCAGATTTTTGTCGGGCTCAAGTTAACACCTACTTGAACGGATGCAGTTAGGTGCCTGTGAGAGCACCTTTCCTACCTCGTCTGCTCTGAGCCGTCATCTTCACACTGCTTTTAGAGGCTTGCTTTCATTTTTATTGTTCATTTTAAATGTGAGTTCTTCAAATAAATATTCTGGGAGATAATAAAATAAATCATTATTGTTAAATTGAACTAAAGACATAATTTTAGTCTTTTGAAAACTAAGTGATTTGTGTTTCCTCTGTGCTTAATAAAAATGAAAAAGTCTGTGGCGTGTGTGAAGACTTAATGAATGTTTTAAAATACACATTTTATGAACGCACAAATCAATGAGTAATTACGTAATAATTCTTATATTAGTGATATCTTGCAAAAACATTCAAAACGTAAAGCTTATCCAAAGTGCAAAGACACTGTGGTGTCCCAAATCAGGCTCCATACCGGAGAGATAGCATTATTTTATACTTTCACATATTTGTTCAATTTGAAGTATAGAACTCAAGCTAGACAGATACTTAAATCCATCCATCCATCCATCCATCCATCCATCCATCCATCCATCCATCCATCCATCCATCCATCCATCCATCCATCCATCCATC